TCCCTTATATCCTTCCCACCCTCCTTCATTTTATTCTTCCATCACATCCTTCCTTACAGTCCTCCCTCCCTCTCTTCTTCCTTTCATTCTTCCCTCTTTCCACCCTTCCTCCCTCTTCCCTACATCTCTCCTATATTTCTTCCTTCTCTCCATCCATCCACCCATCCATCGTATTCTCCCTCCCTTCCATCCCATCCACCCTCCCCATCCATACCTTTCTTCCATCCATCCATCCCTCTTCCCTTTCATCCTCTCTGTTACCACGTCTCTCTTATTGTTGTCTCCCCCTTCATTCCCTTTCGTCACTCATCTCTCTTTCACTCCCCTTTCCTTTGTTATTTTCAGTTGTATCTCTCCCTCATCTCTTATTCTCTTTATATAATTATCACTTCTCTTATATCACTTCTTTTTTTTGCTTTGCTCTTCGAAATTCCCCTTAGTTGTGCCTCTTCCCATTTTTAGTTGTTGCTTCTATTTGTTTCCTATTTTACTTTGATTCAAGCTTCCTCAATTGTCTGTTATTTTAATTCCATCTCAAAATAATACTATAAAATTAATAAAAACAACAATAACAACAAAAATAACAATAATATAATAACAATAATAATAATAATAATAATAATAATTATAATAATAATAATAATAATAATAATAACCAAAACAAAAATGATGATGAAGATAGGAAGAATAAAAATACTGATAACAGGAGTAAATACTCGATTTAGTTCTGTCGAACAGAGAAAACCTCATTAGCAATGTCGAGGTAGGGGACGAACTTGCAAACAGCGATCACAAAGAAATTAAATTCCAGGTAGATTTTCAGGCCAGACGTAAGGAGAATTCCATTAAAGTCCCAGATTTCAGAAGGGCAAACTCTGATAGTTTAAAAGAGGCAGTTGAGAGAGGGGGTGTCGCGCTTGGGTGTGAACCTGACAGATGACACCGACCTGATAACGAGATCTGAGATTGCCGAGTTCCACGACAATTTAAATAATGAGTTACTTAATGCACAAAGGCAGAACATACCATACATAAACTCAGATCAGACAACAATGACCCTAAATGGATAAATAATTATTTACAGAACATTATTGGCCAAAGGAAGGCTATAGGTAGAAGGATAAATCGTGGCGAAATTTACCTCCAGGAGTATTATAAGGTATTGGCCAGTAGGGTTAAGACCGAGGTAAGAAAAGCAAAGAGGAATTATGAACTGAAGATAGCAGGGGAGGCGAAGACAAACCCCAAAGGATTCTACCAAATGTATCAAACTAAAACACGAGATAAGATTGGACCACTACGTTCAGATACCGGCGAGCTAACTGATGACGACTGAGAAATGAGCAATAATCTGAATAAATATTTTTCAACAGTTTTCACCACCGAAAATTTAAACATGATACCCAAGGCACCGACTCTATTCAGAGATAGTGAAGAAAACAAATTACGCGAGATAGTAGTGACTAGTAACAATGTTAGTAAGCAAATAGACAAACTAAAGACTAATAAGTCACCTGGTCCCGATGAGATAATTTGCCAGAGTATTAAAGGAATGTAAGGAAGAGCTCAGTATGCCCTGAGCAAAGTTGTTTAACATGTCATTAAAAACAGGTGTAGTACCACAATCCTGAAGGATAGCGAATGTAATACCGATTTTCATGAAGGGGGATAGATCACTATCCTCTAACTACCGCCCAATCAGTCTAACATCAATAGTAGGCAAATTACTAGAATCAATCATTTCAGACTCTATTCGAAACCACCTGGAGAAGCGCAAGTTGATTAATGATTCCCAACATGGCTTCACAGGCGGGCGTTCATGTCTAACTAATCCATTAACATTCTTTTCATCAGTTTTCGAATCGGTGGACGAGGGCCACAATTATGATGTGGTATATCTCGACTTTGACAAGGCCTCCGACAGAGTCCCTCACGAAATACTAATTAGAAAGGTAGAAGCGCAAGGCATCAAAGGTAATATCCTTAAATGGATAAGGGCGTGGTTACGGGACAGGAAACAGCGAGTGAGCATAAACGGCACTAAATCACATTGAAGCAACGTCACGAGTGGAGTTCCCCAAGGCTCAGTACTTGGACCATTATTATTTATTGTTAACATAAACGACATAGATATCGGCATAGACAGCAACATAAGTAAATTTCCTGATGACACTAAAGTAGGACGTGTAAATAAATCTGACGAGGACTCTGCAAAACTACAGGAAGATCTAAACAAATTTTTCGAATGGTCAGAAAAATGGCAGATGAAATTCAATGTGGACAAATGTAAAGTACTCAGTATTGGAGATGTAAACAGGGAAACCAGTTACCAGATGAACAACGATGCCATAATGGCATCCTACTGGGAGAGAGATTTAGAAGTAATGATAAAAAGGAATGTTAAGCCACGTAAACAATGTGTTTTTGCTCGTAATAAGGCTAATAAAGTACTTGGGTTCATGCAAAGGAGTGTTAGTTGCAAGACTAGCGAGGTCATCTTAAAATTATATCTAGCGCTTGTGAGACCTCACCTGGATTACGCAGTTCAGTTCTGGTCACCGTATTACAGAATGGATATAGAATCCTTGGAAAGAATCCAGAGGAGAATGACAAGACTAATCCTGGGCATTAGGAACCTTGAGTATAGAGACAGGTTGAAGCATCTAAATTTGCACTCCCTCGAGAGACGTAGAGTGAAGGACGACATGATAGAGGTGTATAAATGGAAGTCAGGGTTAAACAAAGGGGACATTACAAAGGTACTCAAACTATCCAACCAGGAGCGAACTCGTAGCAATGGTTTTAAATTAGACACATTTAGATTTCGGCGTGAAATAGGTAAACACTGGTTTGGAAACAGAGTAGTGGATGAATGGATCAAGTTACCAAATATCATCATTAACTCGAATATGCTGGATAGCTTCAAGCATAGGTTGGATGCTTATATGAGCAATAGGGGTTGGGTATAAACGGGACTGCCCAGTATGGGTCAATACGCCCGCTGCAGTTTCTTCCATTCTTGTGTTCATGTGTAAAAGATAGTCAAGAAGTAATGCAATAAATCTCCTCAGTAAAAAAATGCTTCTACTCTTCGTACCCTTATTATTTTTTACTTCTTTACTGCAGTAGAATATCTTATTTCTCTCTCTCTCTCTCTCTCTCTCTCTCTCTCTCTCTCTCTCTCCATACTCTTCATTTCTCTTTCATTGTTTTTGCCTTTTCCTTCTCTTTTTCTCCTTTTCTTCTCTCTCTCTTCATCCATCCCACTCCTTATTCGTCTCCCCCTCCTCATTCTTCATCTTTCTCTTTTTTCTCCTACTTCCCACCTTCTCTCCGTCTATCCTTCCCTCCTCACTCGCCATCCTGCCCCCGCCCCCCTCTTCATCTCTAGCCCTATCAAGTGACAACAGTATCCAAGGAAGGGAAACTCTTTAGAGAGACAGAAAGACGGACAGTGTGTGTGTGTGTGGGAGAAAGAAAGAAAGAGATAAGGAAGAGAGAGGAAGAGATATAAAGAAAGAGAACGGAGTGTCCGTGCGTATGCGTGTAAGAGAGAGAGAGAGAGAGAGAGAGAGAGAGAGAGAGAGAGAGAGAGAGAGAGAGAATTAAACAGCAGATATTAACGGTACACATGGTTGGCCGTCTCTCTCTCTCTCTCTCTCTCTCTCTCTCTCTCTCTCTCTCCTTCTCTCTCTTCCATTTTTCTCATGTTGTCTCTCGTCTCATGTGTCTGTCTCCCATTCTCTGTCTTTCTCTCCCATTGTATTTGTCAACATTAAACTGATTAATTATCTCTCATTATCTGTTGTTGTTGACCTAACCTATGAAGTGTGTGTGTGTGTGTGTGTGTGTGTGTGTGTGTGTGTGTGTGTTTATAATCTATTGCTCAGCGCTCCTTGATATCAGATGTGATAACGTACATTGCCCCCCCGACTTACTTATTTACTTAAAGATAAATTAAAGTAAAGGTTGGTTTATTACAACCACTTAAGATAGTTAATTAGGGTGATTTAGTGTAAGTAAAAGTGCAGTCAGCTTAGGTTAAATTGACTGAATTTTCATGGCACGTAATTGAGGAAGTACTAATGATCAAATTACGCAATGGAAAGAACGGGGTGTAATGGTAATATTTGTCAGTTGTCACGCTTGCCTGCCTCTATTGAGAATAGTATATAAAGGAATTCCGGTGTGTGTGTGTGTGTGTGTGTATCATGACCAAGTTTACACCCCTGAACTTAAACAGGAGTCCAGGTGTGTTGGGCAGATACATATCTCAGCATTTTCGGACATGTTTTACGTTCAGGTGTAAAAAGTTTGTATGGCTTCATGTGCTAGGAGTATAAACACACTAAAAGCGTCTCCCTTGACCGACCACACACACACACACACACACACACACACACACACACACACACACACACACGGGTTCAAAAAAAGGTATCGTGCCAACTCTGAACCCGTGATAATAATTCCCCCGTCCTTAATAATAGTTTCGCTACAAGGACGATAACAATCCCAGCAAGTGAAGATGGTTATGGTGACAGGAACATACACAGTGACGAGGAGGCGAACAGCAAAAATTTATAGACTCATGATCTCACCCGGGGTCTATATTTGGGGCTGCCATGGGTGGAGCCCAGATAAGACACTTGCCTCAGGAATGTGTCACTTTCCTTGGGGGCTAATTTGTTTCATCTCTTTCTGCCTCTTGTTTCTTCATTTTTCACCACTATCTTCCTTCACCATCCTCCTCCACCCCTTGGGCCGTGTATCTCTCAGGGTCATGTTCACTGTAGCATCAAGGATCAGACTAAACTTGCTGACGTTGGAAGTTTTCCTGCCTCGTGTTCCAGTTGATTCAGGTTCTTTCTTAAAACACCCCCATGTTTTTGGTCTTTTCTCTGGAGTTGTGACATAAAACTCCAACATTGTGTAACGTGTGACTTTACAAGTTCATGTCACTACGTATTTCACAATAAAATCAAAACAATTCACTATACCTTCGGTTTGACGACGTAAGCCAATCAATCACTCATTGCTGATACCCCACTTGGCCAATATTTGCAACATTTATTCGTTATTATTCTTATTGTTGTTTTATCATTCTCTTATGGTCTATATGCGTGTGTTACCACCTTAGCAACTATGGCCACGCTCACACACTTTACACCATCACCAGCAATTTCGTCACCACAACGGTACCGACGGCGGCAGTAACACCCACCCACACACCCACAACCAGCTCGCGCTTCTGGTTGGCTGAGTGAGTCGACCAGATGGCGGGCAACCGGCATCATATCTTCACTCGGAGACCAGTTACTCAAATACCAAGGCGAATTTTTCCTTCTGCCGGTGTGACTATGGGAAGTTTATTTGTCACTGACCGTCACACTCGCTGACTGATACTATGAAGACATTTCACTTGATATTAGCGTAGAGTGGAAGGGAGGGACATATTTGCATACGAGAGCTTGGCAAGCTGCACCTGTCAACAGCTAGAGTAAATAAACAGAGGTAAGGGGGGGAGGAGAGGGAGGGAGTGACGGAGTCTAAGAGATGTTTTGGCTTCTCCCTCTCCTCCCTCACTCCCTCTTTTGGCCAGCTGCAACCTTCTACAGTGACGTCAACAGTCATGGCATACGGACCCCCTCTTCTCCCTCTCCCCTCATTCCTCCCACTACCCCTCATTTACGATTGTCATGGCGGGTGCAACATGATCCACAGTACAGAACCAGTGTTATGGTCCCCCTAGCTATGCGGAAGTGACCCAGCCGGCACCAGTCCCCCCTTCAAACTTGGCTCAGGCACCATTAGGGACTAACAGAAAACGGGTCGAGGGTAGAAAGGGGATGAAATTAGAGAAAAGGACACCAATTAAAAAGGCATTTGAGATGGTAGGGAAGAGGGGTGGAGAGGATAGGAACTAGATGGTTGGGAAAAGCAAGAGGTGAGAAATGAAGGAAGGAATAAGAGGTGGGCGGGACTGGATAATGTATGTGAAGGATAGTAAGAAATAAGATAGAAGAGAGAGAGAGAGAGAGAGAGAGAGAGAGAGAGAGAGAGAGAGAGAGAGAGAGAGAGAGATGTATGGAGGGATAAATATAGGGATGATGGGATGGAATGGGGAGAGAAATTGTGAAGACACACACACACACACACACACCTCATATCGCTAATCATAATTACACAGACCCGACAATGTCAAGCAAACAATCCTTATGATAAAAGTAAATGTGTCATTTTAGTGTCAATAACCGCAACATTTATGGGTAAATCGTAACACTTATCAATCTTATCTAATATAATCTCTGAAACTTGTATGATTATGCAATTATTCATCACATTTTTCTCATGTTTAACGTGTTAAATGTCAGTTGTCATGTGTTTTATACCATCTGCCATGTAATCGATCACATGCTATGATATATATTGTCATGGGTCGCACACTAATATCCATGTCATTTATACAACGTGGCATGTTGTATCCAGTATCTGTCACGAAACAGAGAGGGAGTGAGCATCACCAGGTGTGTGTGTGTGTGTGTGTGTGTGTGTGTGAGTCACGGGGATTCACCAGGAGGGATATGTGTGTGTGTGTGGTGATGTTGTAGTAGGTACCAGCGACTCGCTTCACACCGGGGGCTGGTCTACATGCTACACTGAGTCGCCTTCACGCTTCTCTTAACAAACGTCAAGGCCATCCAATCGCAAATGCTTTGTACCACTGTCAGTGATGTAATGCTGTACCTGTATCTGAACCTGTACTTGTATCCGTACCTGCAATTTTATCTTTACCCGTACTTGCACCTTTTCCTGTACTTAAATGTGTATCTGTACTTGTATTTGTACCTATATTTGTAACTGTACCTGTATTTGTATCTGTACCTGTATTTGTAACTGTACCTGTATTTGTATCTGTACCTGTATTTGCATCTGTAACTTTTCCTGTTACCCGTGCTTGTATATTTACCTATACAAGAACCTGTACCTGTAGTAATATTTTGTACCTGCGTTTGTATAATTTCCGAATCAATACTGAAAAACTGACTTTGACTTATACCAAGCTTGAAGAACTGTTATAGACTAAGCTTGAGAGTAAGTGACGTAGAAATATTCCCTTGGTGTTGTTTTAAGGTAACTCACGACCCTTGTTCTTTACCACACCATCCCTCAATCCCTCTCCCATCCCTTCCACCAGTTCTCATCCGATTTTTTTCTCTCCTATCCTCCTCAGTAACTCCCCTTGTTTCTTACCACTCTATCCTCCTCTTCCATCCTGCTCATCACATACCTCTTTTTCTCCTAATTCCTCTCTTCTTTCCCTGTCTCTTCTTACCATTTTCCCCTCTCTCCCTAGCCTCTCAAACCCTCTCTTCTTCCATCCCAATTCTCTCTCACCACCTTTTATCTTCTTCCACCTTTTCTGCCTCTACTCCTCCAGAATCCACTGTCCTTCCTTTTTCCACCTCTTTCCCTTCCTCTGCTACCTCTCCTTTTCTTCTTCCTCTTCCAACTTCCATACCCTGTTTATTCCTCCACACCCTCACATTTCCTCTCCCTCTCTATCACTCCTACTTTTGCCCATTCCCTCCCTCACCACAACCCCTCTTCCCTCCCTCCTACTTTCCCCCCTTCTTTCCCTTCCTCCTCTTTCGTCACCAACCCCCCACCCAGGTGTCAGTGAACGTCAACATCCGGATTCTCAGTTTATTACGTTTGTTTCTATCCTTAACTATGACTCAGAAATCGTATTTATTAGGGTAGACGTAGTTTAAATGAATGACATATATGTGTTTACATCCCTAGTTAAAGAGGAGGGTTTTCTGTATGAAATTAGGGATTTTGATCCTAGGGGAGGTGAGATTTGTTTCACACTTTCCCCACTTTTCTCAACTTTACCACAACTTTTAGCCAGTGGGTATGTGGTGAAGTGGTCAGGTGTCCCCTACTACCACTAGCAGGAAGTGGGCGGGTGGTGGTATGGCCTGTAACCCGCCACTACCACCAGCAGCAGGAAGTGGCCAGATGGTTGTGTGCCCAGCTGTCCCTACCACTACCACCACCAGTACCACCAACCACTAGCAGGAAATGGCCAGTTCTCCCTACTAGCACCACCACCACTATCATGACATTTTTTTCGAGCATATAAAGTAGAGGTGTATGTTGTACCCCCATCTAACCCTCCTGCTTTCCCTACCACCTCGAGAGAAGGAAGTCAAATGCTGTCTTATATTACGTATTAAGACTCCGTAGTAATGATTGTATGTGGTCTTCTCTGATTGGCTGAGATTTATAATGAATGGGTTAAAGTAGTCGTATGATTATTAATAAGTTTTGGAGGTTATTTAATACATTTTGTTTACGTTAGTTAAAATGTCTTAAGAAACAACCATCGCTAGTATTACCATAACACATTTATTACACTACTACTACCATCACCACCAGCACTACCACCACTATCAACAACCATCGCTAGTATTACCATAACACATTTATTACACTACTACTACCATCACCACCAGCACTACCACCACTATCAACAACCATCGCTAGTATTACCATAACACATTTATTACACTACTACTACTACCATCACCACCAGCACTACCACCACTATCAACAACCATCGCTAGTATTACCATAACACATTTATTACACTACTACTACTACCATCACCACCAGCACTACCACCACTATCAACAACCATCGCTAGTATTACCATAACACATTTATTACACTATTAGCTACTATCACTACTAGCACTACCACCACTATCAACAACCACGCTAGTATTACCATAACACATTTATTACACTACTACTATCATCACCACCAGCACTACCACCACTATCAACAACCATCGCTAGTATTACCATAACACATTTATTACACTACTACTACCATCACCACCAGCACTACCACCACTATCAACAACCATCGCTAGTATTACCATAACACATTTATTACACTACTACCACCATCACCACCAGTCCTACCACCACTATCAACAACCACTACCACCACAACTTTCACTCTTCTACCACCACCACCACCACTTTAATACCACCACCGCCACCACTTTAATACCACCACCACCACCAATACTTCCACACACCACACCACTACCACCATCACTTCCACACCACTACCACCATAACTTCCACACCACTGCAATCACCACCACTATCAAAACACAACTACCTCACTACTATCACATCTACACCACACCACACCACACCTCATTACACCACACTGCCACTACACCACCACCTCCACACCAATACCAATACATTCATCATACCACCACCACCACCACCACCACAACGAATCACCACCACCACTACTACACCACTACTCACCACACCATCATCACCACACCACCACCACAACACCACTACCATCGCCACACCATACCACCACCACCATCGCCGTTCGCCGCCACCACCACCACGCCGCCACCACACCACCGATGTGGTGGCACCACACACTACCACCACCACGCCGCCACCACCACCACCAGTGCCGCTGCTGCCACCACCACCACCAGCGCCGCCACCACACCGCCACTACCATCACCAACACCGCCGCCGCTGTCGCCACCGCCACACCACCACCACACTACCACCACCACAACCACACCACCACCACCATCATCACCAACGCCGCCGCCGCTGCCGTCGCCACCGCTACACAACCACCACCACACCACTACTACCACCACTACCACACCGCCACCACAATACTACTACCACCACCACCACCAGGTAGCGGTCAGGAGGTGTGGTGGCCAGCCGGCGTCATCAGTGGCCGGAGATACCCATCAAAGGCTCCCGTTACCTCGCCACCACAACAGGACACAGGCGCTCAACAGACAGCAGACAGACACTGTGCATCTATTGTACGTTCCTAATTAAACACAACAGGAGAATCTAGTCAACAGATTACAGACAAACACAGCTACTGTTGTCTGTTGAAAATAAAACCCACAACAGGAGAGTCTGTAAACAAAAAAAACAGACATAACTCTACGTGAATTTATAGCATCTTAAAGTAGTAGTAGTAGCAGCAGTAGTAGTCTAGGAGTCTTCGTGTACTTAGTGTTTCTATGGATCTTATCTTTAAACCAAAACTGAGACTAGTAAATGCGTCTGTACAGTACATCATAAGTTATGAGAATAATTTAACATACGAACCTTGGAATATCCGGACTCTGATAACTACTACTTAACGTTGAA